TTCAGTTTCCAATAATCATTAACTGTAGCTTCCAACATCCAACTTGACACAAGCATTGCAATTTAAAGCTGGTACAAACAAAACAAGCAAACAATCAACGAACCAATGCATGCACATGCACTAGTTCGTTTTAAGATGACAATTACGGAGTAGGTCAATTATAATTTCGCACATTTTGATCTTTTCACAGTGAGTCTGCATGAAAAACACTTATGCTTTCATTTTATTAATTCATCATTTCAGACTGCTTTGCTAGTACTCCCTCCGTCCTCAAAAGTTCGACCCTTTTGGCCTAATTCTAGTTCCAAAATGTTCATCCCATTTTCATTTTAATACCCTCTAATTTACAATAATATTTGTGCAAAATTAGCTTCCCCATGCAAATTTTGCTTTCTCTATATATTTTTATTACTTTCTCTCTCTACTTTTTGCAATTCCAATGTAAATTTCCTTTTTCAATGTACTTTTCTTAGCTTCCCCATATACTTTATGCTTCCAATTTAACTTTCTTAATACCCGCGAAATCAACCCAAAAGGGTCGTTCTTTCGGGGACGGAGGGAGTACATCTTTAGTACAAGACATAAGATAAACATTTTACAAATCTAATGATGATCAATTTCCCATCCAAAACACTGCACTAATCAGCCAATATTTGTTGTGAACTACTCGAGCTTGGTTAAAGTTAAAGCTCAATCAAAGATCCACTCGAGATCATATTTTAATGAGCTGATTGAGTCTTAACCTATTGCGAATACAAACTATTGTGCCTAAATTAATGCTACAGGTTCATATGTCTTGCAGGTTGCTAAGTTGCAGATTACAGGTTGCCACGAAGTCAATGACCTGGTTTCAAGTAATCAAAAGAAGTCAAATGAAGGTCTTAGCTTTCCAAGGAATATTCCAAGAAGATCCATGTTGAATGAGTCAGAGGTGTCATGAGAATCGGAGCCAATAAACTAGAGCTAACTACTTACGAAGAATAATAAGTCAAACTGCAACGGATAATGCTTGGAGCTAGAATGTGGCATATAACTCGAAGCAGAGCCTGGCAACTAACCTCGGATTCCACGGAATCAAGGAAGGAGCCGTTGAAGTGCTTTAGGAAGATTTTCTATTATAAATATGGTAAGAATCATTGCATATACACAGGCGTCACACAACCTCTAAGCCTTACATTTCATAGCAACTAGCAATTCTTAGCAATGTTATAAATTTATTCTAAACCTTTACTGTACTTGTATTGAATTATAACCTAGTGGATTGGTGGACTCATAGCCATCCGCAGTTTTTACCCTTGTTTCTGAGGTTTTAACCGTCATCATCCTGCCTCTCTTCCTCCCTTTCCCCTTTGTTCATTTCTTGTAGGTCATTTATTCTCATTCCTTGAACCTGCATCTTCATTTGCATATTAATTAATCTAGCTGTTGTCCAATTGAACCTGGTCTAATCTGGCAGTCAGATTTTGACCTAAACACAAGCAATTCTTTGATTTATTACATTTCTTTTAGCTCTAAAAGACCTAGTGATTTAGCAATCTATGGATACCCAAACTATATATCTTGACCTAATCATATATAAAATTGAATCAAATTCTTAATTGACCCAACTTGAATTAAAGTTGATCCAAATGACCAATTGCCTTTTTGAGAAAAGTTAATACAAAGTGTAAGTTTTGATTTTTCTACAAATCTAATATAGTGTATTTTGTAATTGACTAACAAGTCAAACCAAAGTTAACACAAGTCAAATCCAGTCTTCTTTCTTTATTTTTCGATACTTTACCAATAATATATTCCTTATATTATTAAAACTTTAATAATAATATTATATGCCTTTAAACATTAATCCTTTAATTTCGTAAATATGTTTCCTTGACCATTCCCCCGAAGAAGGGTAACAAGATTACAGGAATTAGTAAAGACTGTGATGGAATGATACCCCCGAGTAGAAGCCCATTGTAACCCATACATACAAGCCAAAGCCTCCGCATGAAAAGCTAAAGTATAAACCCCAAAGTTGCTACCTCCAATGATCCGATCATTCAACAGGTCATCATTATCTGAGCACCAGCGCATCCCGGCACGCTGAGTATCTTTGAACCAAGAGCCATATACTTGCAAAGAGCGAAAAGTACTTCCTTGGTTGAGAAATCCCAGATGAGCTATATAAAAACCAGGCGGAGGAGAGGCAGCACCATCACCTGCCGCCACAGAAGGGTTACTTCCAAAGACATCTGGTGTAACAAAATCTACGTGTATGTGTATCCTTAACCTCTGCAAACTGTGAAGAAAACGACCATGTTGCAGTAGAATCCCTAAAGACTTTGGCATTCCGGCATAACCAAAGACTCTAAAGAGTACCAACGAAGGTACCTAAGCGAGTACTAGAAGGCCCATCCTGACTAATAAAAATTCGGATATAATCTTGGATCCAATATGAGAGAGAAAAGTCTCCATTCAATTCTGAGCGAATACCGAGGCATCCCCCTCCAAATTGTTCGTGCACTAAAGCACATCCTAAAGAGATGTTGTAAATCCTCTGGTGCTGAACTATAAAGATTACACAACACATTTTGAATTGGCACACCCCGGTGATGAAGTTCCACCTTAATTGCGAGCGAATGATGTAGCAATTTCCATAAAAACAGCTTCCATTTAGGTTGTATCTGAAGCGACCATAGAACTTTCCAGAAGTTGCTCGAACTTAAAAGGTGCGGAAGTAGAAGGAAGTTATTGTTGAAGCATAGCATACCCTGTTTTCACCGAGTACCGCCCCAAAGGGGTACTCCCAATAACGAAAGTCTTCTTTTGTCGTATCCGGTAACTCCATGGCTAAAATTGTAGAAGCATATGCAGGAACAAACCAATCGATTATTTTGTCAGTATCCCACCCATTTGTCTGAAGATGGATGAAAAAACTAACGGTTCGATCCCGTGTAGTGTTTAGAGAAATGCTAGGTTTGAACTTAGGAATGCGACCATTGACCCAATTAGCCGAACCAGCCAGAGTAGAGTGCCCATTACCTATTTTTCAGTTGCCACCCTGTTGTAAAAGAGTGTCCGCCCTAAGTAAACCCTTAAGGCCGTATGAGTGGCGGCTAGAAACCCTATCAGTTATTTGAATTGTTGGAAAAAAAGGACTTGCGCACCGAAAACTTTAAAAACTAGTAGCTGTGGGTTTGTGACAAATCTCCAGACCTATTTCATTAGGAACGCCTTGTTTAAGGAGGATGATCTAAAGATACTCCTGGAAATGAACTAGGAGGATGCAACAATAATACAAAATCAATCCAAAAGGTTGGCCTAGCTGAATAGTGGAATTCATACTTAAATATTGGGGTTTGCCTAGAGTGTATTTGAAAACTCAGTCTAGTGCCCCAAAGAATCATTCACAAACACCACCACCGCCACCACCTTTTAATTAAACAAAACAAAATATGGCCAAAGTTGAAGTTCCTGCCAAGCAAATCAACATGATCAAGAAAGAGATAATCTAAAGATATCACGAATATTTTTTTATGCATAAAGTAATCCCATCTCACCACTTAAAAACATCCACACACAACTTTAATTTGTTCCCCTCTAACGTAAATAAAACAAGTTAACAACAATTAGAATCTCATATTACATCAACGATCTGAGACACCCAATAAGCTACTTCACTACTTATACCACGCCATCTAGCTTTCCTTTGTATTTATTGAACTTCTATTATTTTTTTTATTGAAAATTCAATAATTTCATGGATTATTGAAACTTTTTGTTGAGTATTGATTTATACGAAGTACTTTATCCGTACCGTTTTAAATAAATTGACATAATGTGACTTTTTTCACTATTCATTCATACATTAATTTTAACTATAATTTTTAATAAACGCATTAAAAATAAATTATACTCCATATTATGAAATTTATTGTTAAATAGGTATTGATAAAAATTCAACTTTTTAATAAACTAGAGTGGCTAACGCATGCGATGCACGTACCATATATATAGCTAGCCATATCCGGGGAGCTTTTTGGGTTTGACCTTATTGCCAACATTAATAAGGGAAAATATGTAAACAAATATTGTTAGCTTTTTTGGGTTGACACGTCATGATTCCCGAAACTACGTCATTTAAGCTAAAACCTCCACAATGGCAAACTACTTCCTTTTGTAAATTTAGTATGTCATTGTGTCCCACATAATCATATGTTATTTAACTAATACATAAAAAAATAATAAACAAATCAATTTATTTGCCTAGGGTGAAGTGAAACTACATAGCTTAGTAGAGCTATGTAGTTTCATCAAAGCTACAAGTTTTGTAAAACCTGTTTAGTTCACCTTATATTTGCTTATCTGAACTTATCTCATCTGATCTGATCTGATCTGGTTTGGTCTGATCTGATCTGGTCTGATTGTTTGATTTGACCAAACTTTGACCTTAAGTGTACGATAAATGTGATAATCTATAAAGAAAAAATATATCAAGTGGAGTTTTGTTAGATTCGTAATAATGTGTATTTAATTAATATGTAATTTTCATAATTTTTTTCATTACAAATTTAAAGATACTTAGCGATAAAAAACTGCACATAAAACGATGATCTGATCTGAACTTATTTTTTCTGATTTGAACTTATTTTTTCTGATCTGATCTGAACTTTTTTTTTTTTTTTTTTTTCTGAAATAAGTAAAAATAAGTTGAACTAAACAAGGCCTAACTCCACAATGGCTAGCTTTATAGCTCTAGGTATTTAGAAATTACAAGCAAGTTCTTATACACAACCATTGTGGATACTCTTATTCCATCCGTGTTTGAGAATAAAACACTTTTTAAAATACGGAGAGAGTAAGTTTTTATTGAATTGGATTTTTTTTAATTTTCCACTGAATTAAACTTATTTTACTGAACTAAACTTATTTGTAATATTCATTATTATTTTTTTTCAAAAAGTGGAATGAATAGGGCCAAAGAATAAAACTTTTCTTTTACCGGTACAAAACATAAATTATTTTCACGGAATATTATAGTTTGAGAACTAAACCTTAATTAAAAACACATAGTATACCTTTAATTTATTCTCCCTCCAAATTTAAAACCCTAAAAAAAACTAAACAAAACACATATTCTGACACTCTGACACACCAACCCCACCCCCCCACCCCCTCCTTACATTTTCCATAAATCACTCCCAACACTCCACTCTACTCCTCTCCTCTTTCTTTCTCCTCCCCTATTTTCCGCCATTGTTAAACCTTCAAAACCCTAATTCCTTCATCAATGGCGTCAATCGATCCTCACTCATACACAAATTCATCTCACCCTTTCACAACCCACATCTCACTCTCTCTCTTCTTCGACTTCTCTTCCTCAATCATCCACTCCTCTGCTCTCCTCTCTCTCTCCTCCCCTTTTTCCGGGGACCTCTTCCTCGATACTCGCGCTCTTTCCATCACCTCCATCGTCGACCCTGATACCAATTCCCCAATTCCATTTTCTCTCTCCTCTGAAATTGACCCCATTAAAGGTGCTCTTCTCACTGTTACTCTCTCTGATCAATCCAAGTTTCTGATTTCTTTTCAAACTTCGCCTAATTCTTCTGCTCTTCAATGGCTGACGCCTCCTCAGACTTTCAATAAAACGTTGCCGTTTGTTTATACTCAATGTCAGGCGATTCATGCGAGGTCGATTTTTCCTTGCCAGGATACTCCGGCCGCGAGGATTACGTATTCGGCGAAGATTAATATCCCTCGGGTTCTGTCTGCTGTTATGTCTGCTCGACATGTCGAGCGTCGTGTTCCTACTGCTGGTGAGATCATTGCTTGTTCTTATTGTTATGAATTAAATTAATTCTGTCATTGTTTTACTGGGTACTGAGTTTGTTAGTTATGAATACTCGCAACGATACGAATGAACCCTTATTTTACGCGAGAATGTTTAAGAATTTTGTTTATAAATGAATTTGAAATTGCTGGAAGAATAGTGAAACTGTATAATAGTATTGAAAAATGGTTTCAATTGGTACCATTTCTTGAGCTTAGCTGTCGTAGATTGTGAGATGTTGAGAAAAAATGGACAGTTAATTGGAATGGAGTATGAATTATCAAGAAAGATTCAATTTTATGTTTTTTTTTTCGGGGAACTGTATACTTCATTTATACATGTATGAAGAATGTTTCATTAATGTGATATTTTGTTTTAGGCGTGTAAGATTATGTCTGTTATATTCTTTAAGTGGCTTCTAAGATGGAACTTTGACCTTTATTCAGTAGTTTTGAAGATGAGTAGTTTCGAAGATGCATATCTTGTACTCCTTATTATTTTATGAAGAATGTCTTATCAATGTAATATCTTCTGTTAAGCTTGTACAGTAATATCTTTGTCCTGTATATATGTCTTTACTTTTCCTTTAGTGGTGTTTGAGATCAAACTTTGACCTTTGTAGTAAACAAGATGAATTATAGAATGTTTTGTAGAAGTAGTTTTGAAGATGAGCAGGTTCTTGCTCCCACTCTATTGACGAGTATCAGAGTTTCACAAGAGCAATCACAGTCTCTAATGATAATATGGTCACTTTTATCAGAGGTTGATTTCAAATGTGTGTGCGCCCACGCGTGCGAGTTGGTGGGGCACAGGGAGTGGGGGGTGGGGGCTGTTATCGAGTGGTAGGAGTAGGACTGTAGTACTGTCTATACATTCTTTTTGTTTGGTCTTTCCATTGTCCTTGGCTGTGGTCAATGTTTTGATAGGCTTGTTATATTTCTTGGTTGATTTATTTTGTTTTGAAAATCTGACCAGTGTCTTGCTTAGTTAGTGGGATATTAATGTTCGAATCTGCTTATTCTAGTTAAATGACAGAACTTTTCTAGTGAAAAGATTTGGCTATAAAAAATCATGCATGTTTCTTACTATCATGTTACTCGTACTGCGTATTTCAAAATAAAAAAAAATTTGAACTTTCGAAGTAGTATGGTTAAGCTCTGTGACATATCAAATGTTCCAAGTTTTGATCTACATTATGATGGTCAATGTTGATTCACAGGTGAGGCAGGAGCAGCATGTGATGATTCAATGTGGTGTGCGGAAGATAGGATTGTCGAGGAGTTTGTCATGGAGCAGCCAATACCGCCATACCTTTTTGCATTTGCAGTTGGAGAAATTAGCCACAGGGAGGTAGGTCCAAGGACGAGAGTGTATGCTGAGTCAGTGCCTTCAGTTTTAGATTCAGCTGCAAGAGAGTTTGCAGGAACTGAGGATATGATTAGACAAGGGGAGAAGTTATTTGGACCTTATGATTGGGAAAGGTTTGATTTGTTAGTTCTGCCTCCTAGCTTTCCATATGGAGGTATGGAGAACCCAAGGATGGTGTTTCTAACACCTACGGTCATAAAAGGGGATGCAACTGGAGCGCAAGTGGTGGCTCATGAACTTGCCCACAGTTGGACTGGAAATTTAATTACAAATAAGAATAACGAACACTTTTGGTTGAATGAGGTACATCTTACCCTGTTGACAATATAGGTTTTATGCATCTCAATTTTATCACTGTCGACCAAACATGCAATTCAGTACTTCTGGTGTGGGTATTTGGAAATACGTATATCACATTGCTAAATGTTGGACTATTTTCATGGATTTTGTTGTGTGCTTGATTCAGAGTGATAGCTGCAATAATCGTATGACCATGAATGTTACTGTAACAGGATAATTTTCCCTGATATTGTTACTTTGACTTTAGTCAATAGTGAGAGTTTACTGTTCAAGAGTCAAGACAGATTTTAAGTCAATAGTGAGAGTTTACTGTTTGTCAAGAGTCAAGACAGATTTTATCTTCAGATACTAAAATAAAATGATGAATAGAGAATCAAAGGTTGCAATACTTGCTAACTGTCTTTCTTTTATTTTGTTGCGGAGAGGGAGATTACTACAAATAGAGTATACCTGTTGCGTACAAATTAAATTCTCTACTACAAATTTACAATAAATTATTATATATTTGTATTGCTTATCTTGAAAGTACATACAAGCTAAGTTTGCTATTTTACCAGTTTGAAATTAAATCATGAATGGAATGTCTCCAGGCCTTAAAATTGTTCAATTTTGGCCCTTGAAAACTTTATTGGTCATCATGTTTGGAACTGCTAACCTTTAATATCTTGTATAGAACTACTAACCTTTTCTGTTTGTGATATTCAGGGTTTTACGACTTACGCAGAAAGAAGAATTGTTGAGGTGGTGCAAGGGGAAGACAGGGCTGCTTTAAATATTGGTATAGGTTGGAAAGGCTTAAATGATGAAATGGAAAGATTTAAAGACAACATGGAATTTACAAAGCTTAAAACAAACCAAGAAGGAGTGGATCCAGATGATGTATATTCACAGGTTCCATATGAGAAAGGCTTTCAGTTCCTTTGGCGCATTGAACGTCAGGTTTGTTAGATCGACTTTATACTTCATACGTAGTATGTTACAAGGGTATTAATGTTTACACAGATTAACTAGGGATTATATGCACTCTGTTGCTCTATGATTTTGCAGATTGGCAGACCTGCATTTGATGAATTCGTTAAGAAGTATATTACCACCTTTAAGTTCCAGTCAATTGATACTGAGACCTTCTTGGACTTCCTGAAAGCTAATGTCCCTGACATAGAAAAGGAAATCAATTTGGAGCTGTGGACTGAGGGCACGGGAATTCCACCTGATGCTCTGGCACCGGAATCCAAGCTTTATACTAAGATTACATCCCTTGCGCATGAATTCATAAATGGGCGGATGCCAAGGGATGACGAAGTTGCTGAATGGGGAGGGCAGGAATGGGAGCTGTACTTAGAGTTCCTGCCTAAATCTGTTGAAGCTTCACAGGTAGCATTTCCTCTTGTTTTCAAGCATTTCTGCTGTCGTTTATTTGATCTATTTGTTCGCTTGTGATTATCATGCAAAATTATTCCTTGTTATATCACTGATATATTATATTTTAAACTGTTACTGTTGAGTTTGGTGAGATGTCATTTGTGCTCGAAAGTAGCATGATTATGGGATGCTATTGATTATTTAACAGGGTATTTGCATTGTTTCATGAATCTTTGGAGTTATCTCCAGTATCTTAGAATGGATTAAGAACAACTGCAGGAATCATATTATGTTAAATTTATTGGTCATAATCTTTTAGTCCATCGTCGTCCAAGTGGTCGCTGCTCATTTCATCAGGCGATAGCCTTCTTATGTGTGCAATCTTTAGCGATTTACTCCATGTCACATCACCACCCTATTTTCTGTGAATCTCTCTCTCTGTATTAGAAACCTCCCATTACACATATTTTGTTCTTTTTGAACTGGGTCATGAAATAAGCTAGTGAGCATCATCCACCGTTCAAAGACTGGTTTGGATAAGTTAGGTAAACATGCAGTATTGGCTGTTTCTATTTTCTTGCATGTCCTATCAGAAGCATAAGGCATATGGAATATTTTGAAGTCGTGTTAACATTGCTGTAAAGTTTTCACATGTACCATGTATTATTGAACCAAGTATAAGGAATCATTTGATTGATTAACAGGTGTCAGCACTGGATGCACGCTACCGTCTTGCAGAATCAAAAGACTATGAAGTGAAAGTGGCATTTCTTCAACTGGCAATTTCATCTGGTTGCCGAGATTATTATGGTGAGGTAGAGAAGACCTTAAAGGAGGTTGGGAGGATGAAGTATCTTCGCCCTCTTTATACTTACCTTGTGCAAGGTCCTGGAAAGGAAGAAGAGAAAATATTGGCAAAAAGGGTGTTTGCAGAAACACGGGCCTGCTATCACCCAATAGCTCAAGGCGTAGTGGAAGCGATTCTATCCAAGCATCTGTAACTCACAGTTTTTAACGCTTCTGCCTTGTTATATTAGCACTCCTCTATGTGAGATAGGGTTATCAATGCCCGTTTTGCCATAAAAATAGGAAGTGTGGGGATAAAGCATGGAAGACTGGGAGTGCTTATATCTGTACCTATAGGCAATTATTCAATGAGTTGCATAACAATGTGAACAGATTTAATCTTATTTCGTGCTTAAAAAATGTACATTGAATGCTTAAGAGTATTTCTTTGCTTTTGTCTTGCTTTCATACTACTATGAAATAACCAAACTAGGTCATGCTACGAATAATAATGTTAATTAAAAAAAAATGCTGGATCCCAAAGAAGATTAAGGGGCCGTTTGGTTGGGGGTATTCAACAAAGGGAAAGGGAATCAACTGTCATGATTCCTTTTGTTGATGTTTGATAGACAAATTCAATCATTCTCTTTACCCCTCCCATTACCCCATTTTCCTATATTTTCATTCCCACCCCCCCCCCCCCCCAAGTGAATCACTCTAACCCCCAAACTCCTCTTCACCCAACTACCTTGACCAACCTTTTAACTACCTTGACCACCCTCGAAACACCAACTGCCCACCGACACCACCGCCCAACCACCAGTAGAACCAAAATCCCAGCCCACCACCGACGCTGATAACCACCAACCAGCCTTCTCCACCCACCGTCGGCGACTGAACCTGTTCCCCTGCCAACCCACCTCCCTCCCCTTCCAGCGTCGACCCACCCCCTCCCTTTCCCTGCTTTCCGCCATCTTCGGCGATCCCCACCTTCTTTAAAAGCAAAACCCGCCCCTCCCTCTCCCACCGTCGCCATCTTCTCTTGCACCACTTCAACTCGCCACCAACAATGATCGCTTCTCCTACAGCTCCAACCAGCAACCCATTCCACCAGCCATCTTCTCCGCCACAACTACCAATTGCTCCACCAATTCGACCACCAACAATCATCAATTTGAAATTACATCAATTTCGAACTTCATCTTCAATCTTCGAATTGTGCACCAATCACCATTAATGATCTGAGAAGTGGATTAAGGGAGATAGAGGGAGGAAGAAAAAGGGATGAGGAGAGAGAAAGTGGAGGTAGAAGGTTGGAATTGGAGTTTGGCGGTGGCGTTGCAGCGATTGCTGTGAGGGGAAGGGAAAGGGCTTGGTTGGCAGTAGGTTAGGGTGGTCGCCGGCATTCAGGGGTGGTGGTAGGTGAATGGTAGATTTAAGGGGTAGTGGTGGTTGACTGGTTGTAGAAGGAGGAGAGGGGTGGTGGTTGCAAATGTGATTCCCTCTATTTATGTAAAACAAACAACAATACAAAAATGAGGGATTAGCTTTCCTTTCTCCTCCTTTCCCTTTGTTGATTCCATTCCATTTACCTTGTGCGAACCAAACGGCCCCTAAATTGTTTTCCAAAGATTTAAAGGGGTAAAACAATTCTAATAAAAGAGCAAGAAACAAAACACATCGTATAAACTTATTTTTTAATTAATAATTACTTAGTAAAAAAATAACCCATACTTTTTGAATAAGCAGTTCTAATTTACATGTAGTCCAGGACATATAAACTAAAACACATAATTCTCTCTTACCACGGCAGTGGTACGAGTGTACGACTCATACAAGTATTTGTAATTTGTCGATCGTGACAGCATCCTAAAATAAAAGACTCAAACCATTTTTGTTCATGGAACAATTCTGGTGGTGAGTACCAAAGTTAACAATCTTCCTTCAAAGAAGTGTTGTGCTTTACAATCTGAATGCGATCAACGTCCTGCTCCCACAGAAAAATTTCAACACCATAAGTATGAATTAAATCAAGAAAAACTAACACGTTAGCTAACAATTTTACCCAATCTTCGTTAATTTGTTAACTAACACTTTAGATATTTTCATATAATAATAGAGCGGTATAAGTAAGGGTAATACATTCATTTACTAATAAAAGCAGGACATTGCAGTCATACAGAGTAACTAAATTCTTAGACCAAACCGCTTCACAGTGATGTGATATTCATAAATTCAGATTTTAAACGAACTAAAAGAATTGTAACTGCTTTTAAATTTTAAGGGGAAAGGAAGTGAATTCTTACCTCGAAGAATGATAGCTTTTATGCTTTGGAGTTTAATGTAAGCATCAGTTATGCTCATCCGATCTTGAGCTGACTCCATCGTACATGCCATCCCAATCTCCATCACTGAGACCATGTAATTCATCCTCTGTGCACTTGTAGCTTCTCTATGAAATCTGGTATCGCTGACAGCATAATTGATGTTGTCCAAAAGACTTGGATCAACAATCTGCATCACGTTATCAGGTAAAGCTATCTTCACATAAGTGTGAAGGTTGAGACCTTCGATGAAAGCTTCATCAGTGGGTCGTTTGCCTGTCATCATTTCTAGAAGCAGGATTCCAAAGCTGTAAACATCACCAGCTGTTGACGCATCAGCTCCAAGCCCATACTCTGTCCACAAGTAATTCTCCATCAAACAAGACTGATACTGAAAAAGCTGTTCTTATAAACTCATGAGTCATGAAATTAAGAGAAGAATAGCTTCATCCTAAAAGGAAATACTCCTCTAATATACTGCCTCTATGAAAAAAGACTCATTATTATACTTTGGGACAGTCATAGTGGGGTGTTCCTATTTTGTAATCTTATATCTGATGCATCACCAAAATTTTGCACCAGTAATAAAGTATTTAACTAGAAAAAAGTAGTAGGCTTACGACTTACCAAATCTGCTGTAGATTCCATATATTTATGCAGGCTAAAAAAGGGATTAGAAACTAAAATGTGTAATACATAAAAAAATTTATGCTAAGGAAGCAAGGAGATGGAGCTTATAAAGAAATACGAGTCATTAAAGAAGCAACTTTGTAGAAGCTACCTGGTGCAGCATAACCAATAGTTCCTTTAACTCCAGCTGAACTACTCTGATTTGGGTACGAGGATTGTGGAAGAAACCTTGCAAGACCAAAATCTCCAACATGAGCAACCATATCATTGTCAAGTAAGACATTGCTTGGTTTTAAGTCACGATGCACGATAGAATTTTCACAGCCATGGTGGAGATAATTAAGTGCACAAGCCAAGTCAAGAGCAATGTTCACCCTCTGAAGAAGGGTGAGCTTTCCAACTTCAAGAATCTCATTGCTATTGTCTGCGTGCAACCAGCTCTCCAGGCTCCCACCATGCAGAAACTCATACAGAAGAGCTTTAAAGTCATTACCCTGAAAATCAATACTAGAGCAAGCTGTTATGATTCTGACAAGATTTCGATGACGTATGTTTCTTAATGCCTCGCACTCTTTCAGAAAACTCCTTGAAGCACCTTGCTGTTGAAGCTTGAGTACTTTCACAGCAACCACCATTTGGTTTGGCTCAAGCATCCCTTTAAATACAGACCCAAAAGTACCCGTACCAAGTAAATTTGATGTAGAGAATCCATCTGTTGCTTTTAACAGCATATTGTATGACACTTTCAAGAAAGGCTCCCTAAAATATGATCTGGTGAGAGAGAGGTCTTGTTTCTTTTTGTGATGAATCCAATACAAAGAAAACAAGATGGCCACACCAATAAATGCACAACCACAAGATATAATCAGTTTGAGCTTGAGAGAGAGTTTCTTTTTAGTTGCTTCTTTTCTTGTGCACCTTGGTAGATGCAATTCAAAGATGCCACCACAAAGCTTTGCATTTCCCATGAGGGACACCGCACTTTCATTTGCAAAAATACCATCCACAGGAACCTCACCATCAAAGTCGTTATACGATAAATTCAGATACGTTAAGTTGAATTTTGAAAAGTACCCCGGAATATGGCCAGAGAGCTTGTTCAGAGAAAGGTCAAGTTCCTGCATACTTTTAAGAAAGCTCAATGATGAAGGAATAGGTCCATGAAAGAAATTACCTTGCATATATAAGTATAACAGGCTAACACAACTAGCAAGGCCACTCTGAACTTTACCAGACAACTTATTGTTAGAAATGTCTAACCCCACTAGGCTCAATTGCTTGCTTACCTCAAAAGGAAGTGGTCCTTCCAGATGGTTTTGTGCTAGACCTAATTCAACCAGGTTAGTTAAACCCTCAAAAAGTTCCTTCGGTATTGTTCCAGTGAGTTGATTTTGAGTCATAATTAAGAAGTTTATATATTGGCAATTCCCAAGACTAACAGGTATGGTTCCTTCCAATAAATTGGCATACAATTGAAGTTCACTTAACTTGGATAAGTTCCCTAAAGACTCAGGAATTGTGCCAGTTAATCTGTTTGAGCTAAAGTCTAACCGTCCTAGGTTATGAAGCTTTCCAATATCAGTAGGAATTGTTCCTGTTAATTGGTTTCCACACAGATTCAAGAGGACAAGGTTAAACAAATGACTCATACCTACAGGAACTTCACCAGATAACATATTGTTGTCGAAGCCTAGTGATCTAATTCTGGTTGAGAGATTGACCATGGATTTTGGTAATACTCCTCCAAAATAGTTGGAACTCACATCAAGTACCGTCAATTCACTGCAATTGACCAAGGAAGCTACAAATTTCAAATCATCAGCATCTCCACTTCCAAGGTGGTTGTGATTGATAAGTAGTGTCTGGAGATGTTTTAAGCGTCTAAGGTTCATGGATACTTTACCCTTAAATCTATTTTTGCGGAGTTCAAGGCGAGTAAGACTCGAAAGATTTGACAAGGAAACTGGAAGAGGTCCAGAAAACTGGTTACCACCAAGGTTAAGAATACTTAGACGTGGAAGTGTGGATGCTATGTTTGTTGGAAGACTTCCATGAAGTTGGTTGTAATGAAATGAAAGCACGGTAAGATACGAGAGATTATAGATCGAGGGAGGGACCATCCCAGTAAGATGGTTTGACCCAAAGGCAATGAAAGAGAGATTTTTCAGCTGACCTATGGTTTCAGGAACTGTTCCCTCGAAGGAATTAAATGATCCAGATAAGAATTCTAAAGAGGTAAAGTTCTGAATAGTTCTAAAGATAGGTCCCTTTAAATTGTTACTATGAATATACAAACCTTTAAGCATAGAAAGGGAGCTTAGTTCTTGGGGGAATCTTCCAACCAGATTGTTCTCACTTATATCAAGATACTCAAGGTGAAGGCACTTAGATAAGGTGACTGGAATTGCCCCAGTGAGTGAGTTTTGGTACAAACTCAGGTCTGACAGCCTGAGTAGGAGACCGATCTGAGCAGGAATTGAACCTGCTAATGAGTTGTTATGAAGAATAATATAATGGAGAAAAGTGAGGTTTCCTATATATGGGGATATGGTACCAACCAAACCTCTTGACGACAAGTCTATGAGGACAACCCTTTTGTGGCGGTGGCCACATGTAATCCCTTCCCAGTGACAATGATGAAGGGAATGATTCCAGGAATTTAAGGCCCCATTTGGATCTCTTTGTATCTTGCTCTTTAAGGCTAACAGTGCAAAATGGTCAGTCATGTTACCTCTGGCATCAGAACTAATGCTAGAGGTAGTAGTGGTACCAGCACAAGTAGAAAAATACAGTATAAAAAACATAACGAAGAACAGAAGGTGTTTCTTATGAAGTGATAAAGAAGAAACATAAAAACAGGAATCACTCATGGAAAAAAAGAGTAGTGTTTTCTCATAGTCCACCCACATTTTTTGTTGCTGTTATTGTTGCTTGTTATTATCTTTGTATTATTTTGTGACGTATGATAACTCCTATACTTTTAAATTTATAATACATTCTATGACATGGTCTAAAGCTGACTTGCATTTAAAACACAAGTGAAATGCACGCTAGCTAAGTCTTCAAGAATAATGTCCAGGAATATTCTAGGAATTCTGTTAACCTTGTATCTTCTTCTTATATCTGTAAAAACATGTGATGGGACTATATGGTGAGGTTTTTGACATAATGGCCTTGAGTTATGTTACCCTGCAATTCATGCATATGAATGCAAAAATTCACCTTGAATCTCTAACTTCTCAAATCATGTTTAAGGTCGCCAAATTTTAACTATTAATCTTACTATTGCACAACTTGCAATCTGAATGCAGAGATTAGACTTCAAAGTTCAAACCACGGATTTATAGGATTATAGGAAATTTACATGCTAACCTTTGTTCCCTAGATTTTGATAGCAATGGGTCAATTTATACTTGACTTTATTTTTTTTGCTGACCATGGAATCAGAATAATAGCCCTCACCAAGGGGCAGGAAGAAAATGGTTGACAGCATGTTTATGCTTGACAGTATGAAAATAAATTCATATCTAGTTATTTTAGAAAAACTAAAATCTTTACTCTTTTTTCTCTTTCGAGGACAACTTTTCAGTATTTTTTTTACTAAAGATTACATTAAAGAAGCTTTTTCATTAATTTGTGAGTCCCTTTGAGAAATTGTAAGACTTTACAAAATTTAAGAATCCTCTTAAACAAAGACCTATTTTTTTGAGGCAAACACAGGCTTATTCTGTAATATATACATTCCATCATAAAAGTAATTTTAGAGATCAGATAAGTTATTGCTTTAGTTCAAGCATTGGTATTTTGTTTTGTTTGTTTTTGATTTTTATTTTCATACGTCCCTCAATTCCCTTAAAATGGGTTAGAATATTAAGTGGATACCTTTTTCCATAGAAGTCAAAAAACTCATAATCAATGAAAAAGTGCATCACAAGAAGCATTGTGTGGTTAACGTATCACTGATAGTAACAATTCATGTGTGATAACAACAGATGGAACAACAAAGTAAAAAAGAAAGGATACTATGGTTGACTAATAGAGATCGACTCTAGACTTGACCTTTTCCTTGGCCCATTTATATCCATGGAAAAGGAAGGAATTTGGTTGACTAGGAGATAATTTCCATCCCAATTGTTACTCCTTCAAGTCTTCAACCTCTTTAAAGCCAGATGCAATACTGCCAACTTTGAGTATATTCTTGACCAGTCACGGAGGAATTGAGTCAAATCAGTATTAACATTCATGGCCCAGAGGCCAGAGCTCCTAACTGGAGCAACAATGAAATTATCCTTCACAATCACAGTGTCACTTTCATAAGTGATTGACCCTTCAACAAATCCTCAACAGAGACGAGATATATTTTACATTCACACCAACAGAACTTTTCACACTTGTTCAGACATAGAAGCAAAATACTAATCCTCTCTTTAGGTAGTCAGGCGTTCCATTTTCCTTGGATTAAGAAGAGTAAGGCTGAATGGCTAATATGTTAACCATCTGACACAGAATGACTAAAATTAATATCCTTTAACCCCATTAAAACCTTTGTTTTACTTAAGAGAATTCAAGGTTATTTTTTGCTTAATAGTGGTTAGTTGGTTACGCAACAAGTCAGATGAACAGTGAACTACTAAAAATTTGAAACACGTACCATTAATTATGCGACTCATAGTTCTTTAGAAAGGACCAAGTGTACTGAAGCAAAAGGGGTCATGGAATCGTCGAGGGATGAATAAAAATCAGAGTTTGCAAATTTGCAGATCTCGGAAGTAATATAATCTGACTTAGGAACGATTTGGACCCTGACTAATAAGGGGCATTACTGAGCTAAGATTTGTGAATTCAGAAAGTTCTGTATCCTAGATACCAGGTAAAAGGTGAAGCCATGAAGGCATACAGCAAATGAAACAGCTTGCAAAATTTTTTGACCAAAAGTTACATTCAAATAGAGTATTTTATATGAACATAATAAAAATAAGCTTTATGAACCAATAATGTTTCACAGGAATGCATCATAATGCCATGTCGTATTAAACACAGAAAAATAATAGTGTCACAGATTTTTCCATTTTCATTTATAAAATTATCTCTTTAATTTTATTTTTAATTCTAATTTGGCACATTTTTGCCAACCGTATTTGACAAATAATACCCTTAGTTGTCTTAGTAAAAACTTTCTATCAAAAAAAAAAAAAAAAAAAAAAACCCAGTTTTCTGAAAAATAACAAATCCAATAGCAATTTACACATCAAGCGAATATTGTTATATTAGGAAATAAAGGATATAACCAAGCAAAGACAAATTGGTAGCCACTTTGTTCATAGCCTTGTGGTAAAGAAGGCTATATAGGTAAAGGGAGTGATATGTAGCAACAGTGGTCAATGTGATGGCATCTCCTTTGTGATACTAGGCAACTTAGATGCATTATCATTAACACATACGTGTAACATTCCAATATTCCATGTAAAATTATGTAAACATAAAATTCTATTCTTTTAGTTTATACCTTGTACCATATGAGATATATGAACTTTGATTCAAATACTAAGATTAGTAACATATGAGCAAGTGTAACAACTTAGCAGTTAGCACCCATCTCTAGCATGTAAATAGATAAGTTACAATATTCTGGAAAAGAAACATAGAATGACATATTAAAACAAATAAAAATGGTTTGCATCAAGAACAAAATAGCTTATATATGGGTTGAATAACTAACCTGAATTTGTAAACCAGGAACCATTTAATACAAGCAGTTTCACATCTCACCATGAGAGATATCTCATTTCCCTTTCATCAACTTCTATACGTAATTACCTATCATTAATATACATCTGCCAATAACAAATGCATTATAATGTCAAATCTACTTGACAATCTTCTTCAGGATAGACAAATTTCTACTGGATGCTCCAATACAAGAGCGACCATAATGATCATGAAACATAATAGGCAGTTATTATTTCTGACACTATCCATCATGAAACAATGGCCAAAAAACATACTCAAACCAATTTTTCCCAAATATTTCAAAAATTCGGTGTTATGGTGCATTTATCATAATATTCTTCTGATTTTCTCATCTTGTCAGATGATCCAATATTATTATTGTGACTCTGCGGTTTCTGTCAATCAGTGTACATTACATTTTAGAAGACAAAGGAGAGGATTGACGGTAGTCATGATCTTCAAAGAGTGAACATGTCACTGTAAAAGGGAAGTGGGCATTTTCATAGGAATATATTATATATAATCCAGAGTGGGCTATAAATAGCATGATCTCTCTTCACAGTTTAGCAGATACAAAGTAGTTACTCAACTAGACTTCCTTTGTGGGCTGCAAGTAGGAATGGCAACGGATCGGATTCGGGTCGGATGCGGCTAAATCTGAAAATCCGATCCGTTTAGTAAACGGACCCTGGACTCGGGTCCGAATCCGAAAAATCCAAGTCCAAGTCCGATCCGACTCGTAATTTTTGGATCCGAATCTAGTCCGTTTATTCGGACCTCCTTAAAATCCGAATACCTTTTTTTTTTTTGTAATGTATGATATACCTATAATTGCTTGTATTGTCCCTAATAATAAACTTTATTTGTATCATATAGGTGCGTAAAAAATTAGAAAAAACATAGGGTATAAAGTCTAAACATAACATAGTAAATTATTAATTAAGTTACATAACAAAAATTTGCTACAAACAAGCAAGCAATTGTCCCAATGCAAGTTATAAATCATATCTCATACTCGGACTCGGATCGGATCGGACTCAATCGGACTTTGCGCAGGGTCCAAGTCCGATCAGCCTCCTATTCGGATTCGGATTTATTTTATCGGATTCGGATTCGGACTATTTTTAAATGGATTCGGATCGGATTTTTTTTCTTCGGATCGGGTCGGATTCGAATCGAACTCGGATTGAATTGCCATCCCTAGCTGCAAGGTTAAGTCTCAGCTCGGTTGTAACAACAGGTCAGGCCCAAGAAGGGTGGAATAGTCCAAAAATAAACTTGGCAGATAAGGAAGAAGCTATAGGAGATTGGCAATATCCTCCACAATTACTCCCAGAAAGATTTGACCACTTGTGGGATGGGGGCTTTTTTTTCTGTAACTCAGTTAGATCAAAAGAACTACAAAGATTTCAAATTACAATTCAACCGCAATTGCAACAAATCAAGCATTGTAACAAATAGTTGCAGAGAATCAAGCATCTACAGGACAGGCATGGATATTTTGGACAAGAAGATGGCTCTAAGTTAAAACATACGAAGTATATCCATAACATTTACATCCAATTAAAAACTTTAAGGTACTAATAATCTTGGAAAATCATCAAAACCATGCAATATAGCAAACACACTAAAGGATCTCGAACAGGAAAATAAATAAATAAATAAATAAATAAATAATTCAGAAACAAGCTGAATGACAAACCTTTTTCATGTTATTCTTTGACATCTTTGGTTTTCCTTTGAATACACAGCATGCTCTAACCAATTTCAGGAACCATAAACAGGATAAAATAACGCTACAGAGTATATACAGAATAGTTCATCTGCAAGCTTGCCAGTATAATTGTATAACTATTCCTCATCAATAAGTCCGTCAACAGAAATGCGCATGACATTTCAGTACAGAAAATGGACTTCGCAACAGAGAGAAGCATCTGAAAGGAAGTTGCCATCATGCACCTTAGTATATTTCAAATCACATCCCTGAACTGTATATATCAGATGAAACACTGAATAGTGAAGAAAAAAAATAAATAAATAAAAAATAAAAAAACTCACTGGTGAGGATGATAGTTAGAGACAGGGAGCTGCTTCACCCATAATCATATTACTGCTACATTTTTTTTTAAAGCATCTACATGCTGATGCTCAAGCTATAAAATATCTCCTTCAGTGAATCGGAAAATACATTGCCAGA